GTTAATAACCGAGTAAGAAAATATCTGGTTCCTTTGATGAAAAAAAATAAAGCTAGTAAACCTACATAAAGGAGAAAAGTCCACTTTGACTCCCAAAGAACAATCCAATCCTCAGGCTTAGGGTTAGGTTGAATGAGCTAAAGCTAATGAACACCCTTTGGAGAACACTGATAATACATAAAACACTTCTGAATGTGTTACATGTTCAATTTGCAGCACTGACTGACAAGTTTCCTCACAGCAAGAGGTGAGGCGCGTGTTATGTTCACATCAAAATTATATAAAAAAAAATAAGTTCCTTTTAAAAGATGCTGAAATAAATAACCCTGTGAACACTAAAAGGTGTTTCATCTTCAAAAACATAATCAAAATCACACCCTTATCACAGAAAGAAACTCAGAAAACAGGAAGAATCAGCAGATTTTCAACTTTCCGACAGTCATTGAACTACACATCCACATGTACGGCACATGACATTGTTTCATCAGAAAAAATGTCCAGACCTGAGCTAGAAATCCTAATATTTCACCTGAATCAATATTGTTGTGTCTTGTTTAAATAATCACCAAACATGAAGTGTTTGCACTAAACAGATAAAAGTCTGCGCTCCCAACGCAACCATGAAGTCATTATTGACTCTGCTGCAACCAACCGTCACATGACAAAAATTCAGGGACTTTTTGGCTGAACTGAGGCGGCTGCAGGTTGTGTTTGCACATAGCAGACAGGACACAAGAAGAGTAACACATTAAACCACAAATAGTAAAATGTCTGTAGTATATAGAGTCACCCATTTTTCTTCTAGTACTGGTAACACATTTGGACACTTGTTCAGTTTGATTACAGCTTTTTTTTCCCCAAATTGTAAATCAAATAATCCAAATTTGAATTCTCTCTCTGAGTTCTGTCTGATTCTAGCCTTGGTTGTGCTGTTTCCATAGAGGTGAAGGATTTTATATTGCTGTGAAAAATGAGTCCGCAGCGAGTGGAAATCCGACAGGAGAAAAAAAAAGGAACTGCTTGGAGTTCAGAGGGTTAAAACTAGTAACCATAACATTTACCAAAGGTATAATTAAATTAGTGCGCTTATAGCACAACTACAGTCCTGTTGGGTTTAAGATGCTTTTTTTAAAGAATACGGCGAGAGCAGTTCTTGAAATACAGCACAAGACACTTTTATTTGCTTTCCCACTGCAGATATTCCAGGGTTTGATCTGGCAACCTTCTCGCTGCAAGTCTACTTATGACAAGATATACTGAGGGAAACAGGAAAAACACTGAGCGTCCCTTGAGGGAAGAATTCCTGTTCCTAAAAACTGCTTGCATCCCCAGTGATGGGAGGAAGATGTATTTACAAGCATCCATCTCTCTGCCCAATCCCCACTGGGCCCAAACTGCTTCTGTTAAAGTATTTAAATGGTCACGAACCACTGAGCCTAGCATCAGTTTGAGCTAAATGAAAGGACTCAGCAGGGCTCTAATTGGTAGACTCCACAAAGGCAAACAATAAAATGCTTCTGGCTTGAGAGACTGTTTGATCCCTGCGCCAGGTGTGTTTATACATGAGCTTTTTACCGTTACACCAGCATAACGTAAGGAAACACTTATCCTATCCTGCATTAAATGCAGAGATGCAAATACAGAAATGCAATCCCTGCATTTTCTTATTTGCGCTACCCTAAAACCTTTGTACTGTCCTAAGAAATAATTGTCTAATCTTGAAAACATTTAATAACACTGGTATTCAGATGCATATGGAGAAGTGTTTGTGGTTATTGGTAGCTCAACAGCAGAAAAAATACTCAGGATTATGCATAGAGTTTCATAAGCTCATTAAATTATACTAAAACTTATTAAAAAAAACATTCGAGTGCAGCGCTTGGTCTTGATTTAAACGTTCTCTTCGCCTTCTCTCCCTATTCCCTCTCAAATAGCCCCCCACCACTAGCATGTTCACTTTTCTCTCATGGCACATTTTCCTCTTTTTCCACTGTTAAAATCTAATTTTCTCCTCCTTTCTCTCCTAGCATGTAACCCCTCCTTCACTCTCTTTCCCTCTCTGTGGCTGCTGCCCTGCTCCAATCCCTCCTTCATATAATCCTGTGTTCTCTGGCTCGCTTCATTAGTTGTAGCAATAAACACACAAGTCCACAGGATACATCTAGAAAACTCCTCAACATGATTACTGCACAGTCAGGCTTAAATGCCCACATACAGGGGGGCCCGTGTACCATAAAGTGTGACTGTGTGTGCCAAAGCGCTTGCATGTTTCCATCTATAAAGTTGTGTGAATTGTGTGAAGACTTATGCAATCATTTGTAATCTGTGTGTGCAGAACACTGCATACATAATATTATTCTGGCAACTTGTCGACTTTAGTCTGACCAGATGGTTCCACATAAAAGAAACATGATGTACTTCTTTGGCTTAAACACTGTGTAGGATTTTGACTACAGTGTATGTTCTCTGAAGCTTCTCTTGTTGTGACTGTATCTGTTGTATACGATGAAACAAAACAAGAAAATGGAAGAATTGTGTTTCTTTGCAGCTACTTGTTTTTGACTCCTATTTGTTCGTAATGGGATTGGTTCCTCCTCTTTTCACAGTTTTTTTCTTTATGAGCCTGATGACAACCCTGCTACAACTCTACTTATTCACTGCTGCTCAGTGTTTGTCTGAGTTTCTCTGGTGACCCCTTACTGGAGGAGCTTAGATGGTGTTTTGACAAGGGAAGTGCTGGCAACTCCCCCATTTTCAATAGGCTCATTATTAAAGCAGCTCTCCCTGGACTTAACTCAGCCCGTATTTCTGCGACCACAAAGGAGTCATAAAAACACTTTGGCAAAGTCAGAAACCACACTGCAGCGTGCACACTGAGCGTAAGTACGTGTGTTTTTATGGCGCGAGTGTACGAGCCCCCCTCCACACGTGAGAAACTTTAGACAGTACGGCTCTGTTGTGGCCATGCATGAATCCATAAAAAAAGACAAGTACATATCCATCCATATTATGCCCGCAGTGCACATGTCAGAATCCCATCGTAAAAAAGGCAATTTCAGACAAAATGCACAGTCACATGCACGCTCATGTGCCTGCACAAACACTCCTGCACTTTCACTGATTTGCATGAAAAGTGCTTTGGAAAAGTGAGTTGGGTGCTCTGGTCATCATATTTGTTAGATTACTTATAGCAGTTTGTTTCTTGCAATAACATTAAAGGTATTATTTAGAATTGTACAAAGTGAGTAGGTAGGTGGCACACATTGAGCAAAAGCAGCAAAGTAGTTGCTATCTATTTATGAATTAGCTTGCAAATACATGGTATACTGCAAAGTAACAATCGGTCATACAGCCACACTTACACAAAAATAGAAATACAATACACCATCAGGTAGTGAAAATAACAAACTAACTCTAGTGTAATTCAGTGGTTGTTATGCCTCCGTAAGGCAGTGGGTTTCAGCTTCCATGTGCTTTGAGTTTTCGCAGGAAAAGGAGGGATAAGATAACAAAAAACAACTGGAGAATATCCTGCGTGATGCTGCTGATTCTCAGTTCTCACATAATGTTTGCACCTCCACCAATGAAAAGCACTACTTATTAGCTTCACTTGAAAGACGGGGATAAAGCAGCACATTCCCTAACTTTTTTTTTTTTTTTTTGCTGCCAGCGTTGCTCAAGTTAAACAGTTCCTGAGAGAGGTTTTCATGTTTGTAAAATTCTCTTTCTTGGAAACCTGATAACAACGTAACGTCCCAGATCTCTCCATGCGTCGCTCAGCCTCCTTTCCCCTCCATCTTCTATCTCTCTCTTATTTTCTGACTCTGTCTTGCTCATTCAGCCTCCCTCCAATTTCCATGGCTATAACTTTAATGCAGATGCCAACTCTGCTCAGTCTCTATTCACTTGCACGCACACACAGAAGGCTCAGTCATTCAGTCTGTCAGTAATATGGGGAGCAGAACTAACAGAGAATAAATCATTTTTCCGCAGCAGGGGCCTACCCCGGACAAAGAGCCTGTGTGTATGTGTGTCTGTGTTGGTCTATTAACATATTCCTTGAACAAATTATTCATCTTCCTTGCATTACAGGCATAACATTTCAACCCAAACAGAGGAAAGCGAAAGCCAAGAACCACTTTTTTCTGCAGTGAGTCAAGAATCAATCCGGTCATAAATATGCTTGTGCCAATGCAGCTCTTAGGTATTGCATTTTCTTTTTTTTACTTGTGGCAGAGAAAGGAGAACTTAAAAAGCAAACCACATATAAACCCAATGCCTTGAGGATTAGAAATGCATCAATACGGTGGTGGAGGCCCGTTGAGGACACAGATTTCTGCAGGTTTGCGCTGCACTTACAACAGTATGTGGTTAACTGGAGTAAGATAAAGCCTGACTGTGTGTCTGCTGCTCTGCGAGGACCCGATTGGCTCCAGCCTTGTAAACTGGCAGCATTACAGAGAACAGAGGACAGGAGAGAGAGGCATAAATAAGAACTGGGTTTTGGGTGGCATTGCTAGTCCACTGATATTTCTGAAATTCCATTACAGAAGACCAGCAATAATGACATTTCCTTGTTTATCTGCCAATAAAATGAGACAGAAATTATGCATCCGTAGTCACGACTGAATAGAGTTCCACTGCAACATATTTCCTACACTCATTAAAAAAACAAGCAACTTTAATAACCATCAGCTTCGAACAATTATGGGAAACAAGGTCAATTATTCACATTAACACTGCAGAGTTATCTGAAATCCTTGAGAGATGTTTTGGAACAGCTCTTTCTTAACATAAGTGTGGTAACAGTAGCTTGGATGCCAAAGATAAAGTATCCAGGACAGCACAAGTTCACTGCACTGCTGTCCTCGTACGACTTTATCAGCAGCTTCTGCGGCACATTTGAATCCATTAAGTCTGGAGTGTTTTTATCAACCATGTAAATGTAAGATTGTCTTGTGAAATATATACACATCTGCTTTTTGCGTTTATTCTCTTACCTGCTGCAGCTTAACTCCAACAAAGCGTAGCATCCCTCTGCAGCTTCTGAACTCTTCACCCATGCCTCGCATTAAGATTGGCCATATTTCCTTCTTGCTGGGAACCCAGAATCTGTGATCAACAACAACCATCCAGACATCCTCTGAGATACGTCCTGACGGCAGCGTCCTGACAATGGCTCTGGTCCCAGTACACACTGACTTTATGACCTTATGGAAAGAAGGAAAGCGTCTTATCATTTCTCATTATTGTTAAGCATAAAGCAAATGAGAAAGACTGTAAATATGTAGATAAAAAGAAAAAAGTAAACAGAAAGTTTTTAAAGTTCCAGTTCTTTGCCAAAAACATCAAAAGAAACTGAATCTTGCTTGTAAATACCGTCTGATTGTTCTTGTAGAACCGCCTGACCAGGACAGTGGAACGCTCTTTGCGGTTTCTAACAAACTCTGTGTTGTCCAAGTGCACCTCTCCATCCTCCTCATCGCTACTGTTGCCCCTGCTGCAGTCCCTGGTCCACTCTGAGGAAGCCCCCTCGTCAGTCGGCGACATGGTTTCAAGAGACGCCCGTCGAAGGAATAGCTTCTCCAAGGAGTACCTGTTAACCCGCGGCTTCCTGTTGAGCCTCTCTAAACTTGAGTACGCATCTTTGAAGTTGTGCAGGTGGACGTGTCCATTTTTGCGATGCTGCCGGTGGTTGGTGAGGGGGGAGTTACAGGGAGATGACGTCAAAGAGCTCGGTTCACTGGTGGGACGGCCCTGAGATGAGAAGAAAGGCGACGTCTAGAAGCACAAAACAAGGCAAAATACAATATTTTAATTTTCATGTAAAGCAATACATTCACAGTGTTAATATTGTGTTGTTTTGCCAATCTTGTTCTAAAATGCACGGGCACCACTGTCGTCCTTCATTACCTTGTGAAAAGCCAGCATAGACACAGGCAGGCTGCCACGGCGAATGTGTCTCTTCTTGGGGCAAGCAGGGCTGGAGCTGAGGTGAGGACTGTGAACTGGGCTGGAGCTGGGACTTGGACTGGATCTAGGACTGTGGCAACAAAACACGTCTGGATTTGTGTAAAGGCTAGACGTGGTACAGGAGCATTGGGAGCTGCCAGTTTTGTTCCTGCCTGCATCCACACTGTCTCCAGAGGTGTCCAGCTGGCACACAGAACCCTCTGAACTTTTCCTAGATACCAGAGTTACTCCTTCAACATTCACGCCAGTCGACAGCTCTGAACAGAGTTTCTCATTGGTGCTTTCGACTTTTGAGCTGTAATCAAAGCAGTCGTACTCTTCATCCAAAATGGTCCCTTTCCCACTGTCACACGACAACTTCCTATACAAGAGCAGCGAAGGGCTGCTGCGCTGTTTTGAATTCCACTGTTGGTCAGAGCATCGCCACGTTTCCTGGCCGTCATTTGCATGTTTGGCTTCTCGGCTGGGTTTGCTCCCGGTGGATGGAGGTGGAACATGCTGAGCCAGTACCGCGTGCCCAATCTGTGTCTGATTTTCTTTTGTGGCCATCGTTTTTCCCTGTGGCGTCCTGGTGGCTTCGTCCTTCGTCTCACTGCAGCTGTGAAAAGAAGAAGCAGTTGACTGTTGATGACAGCAATAAACAGAACTTCTAACGTTGTTACTAGAGCTGGAAGGATTAGTCAATTCGTTGATTTTGGGGGAAAAAAAGTAGTCAGCAACTACTAACAGATGATTGTTTTAGTTATTTTGCATTTTCTAGCATCTCAATTATGAAGATATTCTTGTCATAAATAACAGTAAACTGATATCTACCTTTAATGTTGTGCTGCTGATAGAACAAAACAAAACTTTTTCAGGTGTCTCCTGATCATTTGGCACTGATTGCAGACAAACAAATTACATTGTTAATCAAAAACACCTACAGATTAATCAATAATAACCATTAGTTGCAATACTTACTGCATATTGTGTAAAGCAACAACATTCATGTTTACCAACTCAGCTGGTTTGGATGACTACCTCTGAAGGGAGGGGAACACATTCTGTTGTGGCCTACTAACCTCATAATTTACATAACACTAACGTAACTTCAATTATTTCATCATTGGTCATTAATCTTCAAGATTAAATGTGCTATTTACAAGATCCACATCAGGTCATGTTACACAACAGTGCCAGGTTTCTTATTCAGTGTCACTGTGTCATCATGGGCACAGGCCTGTGTTGAGGCAAATAATACCTTCAGCTTTAGTGATTTCTTGGGTGACTGAGACAGCGCGTCCACACAGAGCGTGCTCTGTCTGTGTGTGTTGTGGAAACAGAAGCTTTCGCAGCTGTACAAACTGGCAGATAGAGAAACCCACCGAGGTGACCCTGGAGGACTGAGGAATTTCCTTGATAGCGTGGTCACAGTCACAGCTTACAAGGCGATGTGTGTCCCTGTGCGCAAGAGCTCCGTCTGACCCGGGACTTGTTTGTGTGACATCGTTATCCACTTGCAAGCCCTGAGAAACAAAGAGGACACACACACACACACAGCGAGTATTATTTTCATGGTTTTGCGTTTGTACACTTTCAGGCCATTAAAGAATATTTCAAAGGGATCGGGTAAAACTGCTAGATGGTTTGAGATACGTAAAAAAAAACACGACAAAGAGTCAAAACCAACCTGAAAGATGTGAGAAGCAGATAAAACAAAATATATTCTTTCTCAGCTTGAAAGGTTCCCGATTTCTTTGATTTCCTTTCGTGCTTTCTGCTTTCATCACATCAACTATTTTATCTATAACAGTTCCACCGAAGCATTGCACAGAGTGTAAGTCATTGTGACAGAAGAAAGGAACAAGGCTCGTTTTACATTCATCACAACCACAATAGGAATAAAAATATATATGAATTTCCTGAGATTTAGATCAACTTAACGTTATGTGGATGGTTGTTTAGACAATTATCACATCAAGGTTTTTTTTTTTTAATTATTCTTCAATACAGTTGTGCCTTTGAGAATAGCATGAATTAACACCAAAGGAAAACTTTAAGGAAGAAAAAACACTCTGAATGTCCAACATCATCAGCAGGAATGAGAGAGAGAAAAGTCCCCTTCATCCTTAACAACACAAACTGGTTATCTTTATCGCCATGGTTCCTACCTACCACTATCACAGCTCTTTTATTCTGACACTGTCCAGCAGTCTTAAAATGCAGCACTGCTGCCTTTAAATGAAGGCACGTACTGTTTAAAAGGAGCCATTATGCAAACTCAGAAGCCCGCCAGTAGCTAAAAAAGAAAAAAAAAAGTGACTGATGATGTACATCCATAATACTACACAGCATGCCGATGAAACGCAGCAGTCCACTTTACGGCTGGCATTCATCACACAAAGAAAGAGTGGCAATTCAACAATGCTTGAAATATTTATTTCACTTTTGTCCACATGAATCCATCACAGCAGTAATCGAGTGTATCAGAGCTGAGCGACGAATGAAATACATGCTTAACACACATTTACCCACAACATGCACACATGCTAATTGTGTGGTTCTGGTATCGTAATGGTGGCCAACGATGAATAAATCTAAGAAACTAGGGCTTGGAGCCTTGTAATTAGAGTGACCACAGCCCTTTATTCGCTGCCAAAATGTGTGGGCCAGAGTTGGAATGTGGGATGTTTTGTGTGTCTTTTGTGTGTGTGTGCGTTTGGGAGACACACACACACACACACACACACACAGACATATCAAGGTGTCTGTGTGTGTGTGTGTGTTTGGGAGACACACACACACAGACACATATCAAGGTGTCTGTGTTGAATGTCTCCAGACTCTTTTCAAGGATCTGTGCTACATTCACACAGACAGAAATTCAGTCAAAGGGATGAAACAGACAAGTGTTCCATTCATAAGCTAGCAGTGGCATAAAACTTCCTCCACTGTGCAGCTCAGCTGTGGCTTTTTGATGACACCGACTTAACAGCTCAGAAGCGATAACCTGTGATGACGGGACATTTAGAGGCAGCGCTGCCTAATGACGCTATTAATCAAATGAGTCCTGCACTCCACCACAGGCAGATGTAAAAACAAAACGGAGCTGCGCTGGTCACTATATTATCATTGTTTAACCATCACTGTGGAGGAGGCTTTAAAAGAATAAAACACTCCTGTGCTCATAAAAAATGAGACATTCCTCAGAACTAATTAGGTTAAATAAAGTTTCCCCTTTCAAAACGTTCTTTGATAATGGGTATAATATAAACATATCATTTTGCATGCAGCATGTACAAAACTACCTGATAGAAAATAGTTTGCTAAGTCATTTACAAAGTTTACATTCTGTGGCAGCACATTAACACTGCAAAATGAGTCGCAGTGCAAACTGTGGAAACGAGTTTAAGCGTGACTGAGCTAGCTTGTTATTTCAGAGGAAAACGCTAGTTGTCAGGCACGACAATTGCTTCGTCCGAAGCTGAAGTGTTGACTAGCAATTGTTAACTAGCTTTTCAAAATATAATGTATATCTTATATATTAGGGGTGCAAGGTGGCTCGGTGGTTAGCACTGTTGCCTCGCAGCAAGAAGGTTGACGGGAATGGCAGAATCTCTACTCCACCATGAACTCTAGAATGACTGACTGTGAACGGATGTCCAGACCAAACACATGAAGTCATGCATGCAGCAATAAAGAAACTGTGGCATAAAAGCAAATATAGTTGTGTGTTACCCATTTACAGATTCCCTTAGTCACCCTTGGCATGCTGCAGTCTATGTTGTGCTCGTGTTTTTTTTTTGTGAAGTAAAAAAAATTCAAAGTAGGTGAAATGATCAGCACACAAAACAATGCCTGTTTACTCTTTTTACTTTAAATTGTCCAAATGATAAAATAATAACATGATCTTTGCTTCATTAAATTGCAAACACATGAATCTTACGTTCATATTATCATATCCTGTCTTATTTAATGTAATATAATGAAAATCAAAACAAAACACAAGCCATAAAAAGACAAACATGTACACTTGCCCTGAAGAAAAATGTAACCAGAAGTCCCAAGGTAAATTTCACAGTGCCAGTTGCACAATGTCCAATGTAATACCGCACCTCTAGACTGAAACTGCAACACATGGGAGTTGCTTCCCTGGAGCAACGTTGTTATGACATTTGACCCACTGACATGCTGACATGACACGGAAAGGAAATCATTTTCCCCTCAGTTTCTGAAAGTTTGTCAGAAAAAAGGGCTCAGCTGCAGTTAAGCTAATCAAAACAAAGTCAATTTGCAAGAGCTCATGTTTTAATCAGCCAGTTTTCATCACGTCAGACTGCATTTTTGGAGCGCTCTGTTCCTGACTGTAGAGCGAAGGCACTCCAATCCACAACACTGAGAATCTCACCAGCATGTGTCACAGTCAACCAACAGGTCCAACCTGATTTATCAAAAGCTGGCAAAGAACATGTGCAACCGTAGCCACGACGTGCAACTGTATACAATAACTCTTTCCAGTACTTGTATTAATTTTTAGCATCAAATCATAAATGAGGATTCCTTGATTCCCTGATAAAACAAATAAACATCAAACACAACAACGCTGCATCATCCTAAAAACCTGTATGTACATGCCTATACTCCTAACTGCCCAAAATCAAAGTTTGGCATGTTTAATATTAAGCACAACTGTCATTAAGTTTAGGCGTGGCACAGACAAGTCATGGCAACAGCTATAAATCAAACAAAGAAAACAGAAGTGAAATAGCAGAGAAATACATAATCCAAAACATATTAAACAACATTTTTCTAATTGGAAACCATCAACGTCTGCAACTTTAAGCTATGTGGGGACCACACAGATGTTCGCCGTCTCATTGAAACCAACATCATTTAAGGACACGCACTGTGACACATGTTAGAGCACAAAGCTGCCCTATTATAGGTCAGGAGGGCAGCACTAGGATAACATACTGGTCTCTCAAGGCAAAAAGTTCCATACTGTGGCTTTAAATCCCGAAGGCACGCACTGAGAAGCACGGCGTACAGCTGTGCTCGTCATCAAGCTAATTTAAAATCACTCTGAAATTAGCAGTGGGATCGCATTTCCACACAGTGGAAACGTCCAGTGGATGCATGTGTTTTTAAAGTGAGGTTTGATATAGATGTGCTGAACTGTTCATTTAGTGTCCCTCCTCATGACTGCATGTGATTCTTATAGTTCACAGAAGAAGAAATGATCAGAAAAAAGAGACTTCTCAACACCACAACAACATAGCAGGTCTGTCAAAAGGTGAGATTTACACACAAGAAACTGCCAGTAATCAAGAAGAATGATTACATTTCTGCAGACGGAAATCCTTGGAAAACCAAACACACTCACACCTAACACTGTTCAAAGTAGCTTTCATTATCAGCTGAACTGTGACCCTGACCGGCAAAGCAAATGGCTCTTCCAGGGTAAATCTCAGCCTGGGGCTAAAAACACAGACAGACACACACACACACCAACACACTGGAAACCAGGTCACTCAGAGTGACAAGTGCACTGACCAAGATAACGCTCAATCACTTCTACTTCACTTGTCTTATTTTATACAATATTGTCCAACACATGGAATTACAATCCCCACACCAAGATTTGCTTCTAATACAACTCCTCAGATTATAAAATCAAAGTATTTGGCTCTAACCACCCGACAGTACTTACATTTAATGGGGGTTTAAGGCTCTATAAATGTAACAGTCCAGGTTTTCCAGGTGATTCGTCCTAACTATCTTGTCATAAACCAAGTGAGAAACAGAGTGTGGGTGAGAGAGGCAGAGCAACACGAGGGATGGGCCTTCCACACCAGGCTCAGCAGCCAATCAAAAGGTGTTGTGTCTTCAAGTTTGGGCATATCTTATTACCACAAATGTTTCACCTTGATTGTCATCTGACTGTCAGTTAGAGCACAAAACAAAAGCCTGCAGTGACTTGCAAATGAATTATTTAATATCTGTGTTGATGTAAATAAAAGATGCACTTTTTGTGGTACATGATGAGGGTTTCTCAATATTTAAGCAGTATTTTAGGAGGTTTGTTTATTAGCATTCTTGCTAAAAATGAGAACACTGATACCACTCTTATGTTTGTGAAGCTGCATAACAGGAGATTAGTTGAGCACAAACACTGATAATAGGAGGAAACACTCCTCAAAGATAATAAATCACACTAACCGTCACGCACATTCATAAGTATATTAGATTTTATTTTCTTGAATTCACGAGTTAAAGTGTAAAAACTACCATCCAAATCCATTTAAAGACCAGCAGAAGTCACATCAACCAGCCAAGACTTCAGCTCCAGCACATATGTCCTTAGTTTTACTCAAGACACAAGCTGGAAATTTAAAACTTTACATTTATCAAATAATACTAGAGCCAATAAATTCTTTGGAAAAAGTTTCAAAATGCGCATGTATATTGTTTTGGAGAGCTTGTATACTTTAATGGGAGCCAAGGATGTCTCATCAGCATGAACCGC